CTAGCCCAATGCGTAACTTATGGAAATAAATGGTTAGGCCATGGCCCATACCAAATTGCCGCGCGCGACGCTATCCGTCGCGTGAGCGACGTGACGTGATGAGCTCACGGTTGAATTGACCGTCATGTTATTGTAGGCCTAAAATGAACTGGTTCCACCCGTCTGGTAGTAACATGATAAAATTGAATAAAGCTATGGTTGAACTCCGCGTTTCCTTGTGTATTTCATGCAGCATTGAAATTGCTACTGCGATCATGAACGGAAGTTGAGCAATTGGGTTATTCTAACAAGTTGCTCAGCTGCGAACGCTTGCTTGTTTCTGTCCAACAGTAAAGGTAGTTGAAGTTACAGTAGCTGGTTCGTAACCAGCTGTCACGTGCTGGAAATAGTGTAGGCCCCTGGCGCATAGTGTAATCCGTGCGGAGCACCTCAAGGAACACCATTTTTCAATGTTAGTTTCAGTTGTCGATTTCATAGCTGCTAGTATTTTCTTCTTTTTAGGGCAATGATATGAGTGAACTATTCAAAGATCTGACCGAGAATATCTCTCAAATTTCACAGCCTGGAGGAGAATTTGATGTTGCATGGCAAGGTAAGCTTTAATAAGATCCAGGAAACCGGGAGATGAGGAAAGATATGCAGTCCAGGAGCCGTTGAATTTCGGTAAAGATCTAGGTAATTTTCACGAGATTTTAAGTGAGGTGAAACCTGGCACCTGCATGCATAGAGGCCAACAAATTAGATCAGTTCTTTACCATATAAATCTCATGGATACTTTCATTTGAAAAGGTTCCCTGTTAAGATTCTGGTAGTCTTTGGAAGATAACGGGATTATAGCAGGTTGCTTTGGACATTTTTAGTAGTTGGCTCAGATGGCCATCCATTTTGTGAGGAAAAATTCCTTTGGCGGCTGCTCTTCTATTGAATTTTTTTCTACAGATGAAGATGGTGACAGCGTTGTCATCACCCGTCCTGTGGAGCTTGGAGAAGCGATCGAAGCACGAAAGGATGCCACCCTTAGACTTCATTCGTTAGAAAAGAAAGTCGAGAAGGTGGAGTCAAAACTCAACAACGAAACCCCTCAGCAAACTAAGGAAGAGAAGAGTTCTCCATCAGATGTGAGCTTCATTTAAAGCAACTTTAACCCTTTCGGACCTGAATTTTTCCCCGTGGAGAAATTTTTCTTCTAGCTATTGTTTATTACTTGTGAGCATATAGGTATCATTATGGCGAAATTTGGAAGCTATTCGATCACAAACAAAGAAACTAAGAAGCTTTGAAAATTGGCCCACCTTCTTAGTTTTTAAGCTTATGTCGAAACAATTCGAAATTTCATAGTTATGCCGAAAAAGTTTATAATCTTGCATAACATTATAACCCATAATTTTGATTTAGGAATAGATCTACTTTCAAGTATTTTAAGAAAAAGTCACACTTACTTGGTCGGTTGCGGGGGTTCAGCGTCGATTTATTGTTGCACTTGTACACAAATACTTGTAATACTAACAAGCAACAATGAAATGGCCAGGTTAAGCTCATAATTAGGAAGGGGAAGGTTGACTGAAGCAACCTCTAGCAGGATTAGAAAAACCATGCTGTTTCAGCGGCAATGCAAGCGTTTGAATTTGGTGGTGGCAATTGCCACCGCCAGGGCCGAAAGGGTTAAGGCAATGTTTTTATGGCCACAGCTTGCAAGCTCTGTTGATGGCTTGAATAATTCTTTGTCTTTCAGGTGCCTCCAATAAGGCCTGTGCTATCGATTCTGCGACGCTTGTTGTATCTGGAACACCGATATAGATGTCTCCTCGTGCGTGGACTACGGATTGTGCGAGCGATGGTGAAAAGACTGGTGGGTTTTTATAGTTTCTATAATCATCTTATGGCTGTCTTTGCACTGACGTATGATTCACGAAAACTGGAGGTAATGCATAATTTTTCGAAATCGACTTTTTCAGGAGTGCATGCTCATCATGGTATGATCCGCATTGTGGACCCGTTACGTACATTTGTACCGTGGGGTGCTCGCCTGAAGTACATGCCATCAGGTCGTCAGCGTAAGCTCTTTTCTATTAGTAATCAATAGAGTGAGAGGAAGACGTGGTGAGTAGTGAGTGGAAGTACCGCTTATGATTCATCATTCACGAAGTCTGTGAAACGTGCTCATCTTAGAATGTTTCAGATCGTCGACACCATGCTGAAGGAATAAGTGCTGCATTCACTGACGCTAATGCGCGGTTTGTTTGTTAACGTCGTTTTCACTGGAACGCGCCGAAAGATTTAGTGAATAATGAATTACTGGAGATACTTCCACTAAATTCTTTGCATTCAGGCAACGCGTTCATCTAGCGAAGGAGCATATTACTGAACAGAGTTGCTAAGAGTATGCAGTATTTACAAGACATGGGCCAAGCTGTTACCGCTGCTCTTGCGAATTTCGGTAAATGTTTTTCTTAGCTATCATGTTGTACATTTAAGTTGAATGGTCTTTCTACAGGTATCGATGCAAGTTATGAGGTTCGAGGTGACAACAAGACAGAGCCATCTGCTGAGGAGAAGTCAAAAGCGGCAGCAGGAGAACAAGGGCAACGTTCAGAGACTGAAACAAACAAGGAGAATGTTGAAACAGCAGCCAGTGAAGCGCAACCAACCGCTCCGCCTACTACACCTGCACCGCCTGCAACACCTGCAGCACCTGTAAGTTTGAAAATTGCCTTCGAACTGGACGCAAGACTAGCAACATCTTATTTTAATCATCTCCTTCAGCGAATGATGCCTCATGACATTGCATAGATATATTAGAAGTGTAAATCAGCCGTCGCGTTTTTTTGTAGTTCCAATTTTCTGCAGTAAGAGCTGTTACAGGAATTTGGCAGCCTTGAAAATGCAGAGGCCGAGTACTGTCAAGCTGTGGAGCAGGCCCAAGAGGTCAAGGAGGTCAGCGAGGTGATGGAGTTCTTTCTGTTACCATACTGAACTTGGTATTACTTTCTCGTTAAAAATTAAGTTTTAGGACCATCATGAAAAGGCTGAAGATGGCCAAAGTCATCTTGTGAAGGCACCCAGCGAGGTAACTATAGCTTTCACCAAAAGCTACACACTACTGCTATAACAAGCGAGATTCAGAAATTTCGCCATCTCGAGGAAGCTGAAGAGGAGTATTGTAAAGCCGTAGGAAAGGAGTCGAACGAAGAGAAGGAGGTCAACACAGTGAAGGGGATAAACCTACCCAATGAAGCGATAGGTTTGCAGAGAGGTTTATGCTAGAGCCCCTATTCGATATTGCGATATCCTCAAGGTTATATTACCCGTATTATCGCTCGTTTGTGCCTTCTTATAGACTGCAGATGTTTCGTTTCTCGTGTGGGTCGTTGGCAATGTCCTGCATGTTGCAAAAAGGCGGGAAGAACAGCGAGAAGGCCGGGCGGAGATTTTCAGCATGGAAGGTTTGTTTTATAAGTCACTAATCCCACCTTCAACCAGCAGCAAAGCTCCTGTACCGGCTTACCTTAACTATCGCAGTTTCAGACCTGGCCTAGTGGTGAAGCCAAGAAGACGTCGCCTACAAATCTCCAGGTATGCCAAGTGACATTTTTCGTGACGTAATGTTGAGCTCCTTTGCTTTCGTGTGCTTGTAGCGTAATTTTATAGGGCTCTGACAAATCCAGCAGTGAATCTAGCGAGGACTCCGACTTCGAAACACTGTCTCATGAAAGCTTCCAGGATTGCTCCGACAGAGCTTCTCCGTATGTTTTGTCGTTCTCGTTTTTGCTTATGCATTGTCGGATGTTCCACTGTGTGACTTTTTTGAAGGCATGCGAAAGTCAGAAAACTATCGTTGAAGTCAAATGCATCAAATGGTGCTGGATCGAGCAACACACCCAACGAGGTAATAAATTATGTGAATCTCTACTATGCTAGGTGTCGCATTTTCGTTCAATAGCATAATAATTGTGCTAATTTCTGCAAATGATGTGCAGCACTTGAATGTAAGGTCTGTGATCAGTTCGTGTCTTTGAGTGTGACTTGAACTCCAATACACTAAAAGCAAGAGTGCACAATTTTCTGTGCTTATTGTTAATGTTACCCACGTTGGTTGTTGGAAAGAAATGGGTATTTCAGACTTCGAGTGTGTATCCGACTCTCTCGCCCACACCAGGCACCAACATGGACCAACAGAGCGAATACCAAGGAATTGTATGTTTCGTGTATTCTAACCGATATTGCATGGTTGCTTAGTAGGTTTCAGTAAAACAGCTCTAGTCGTAATGGGTCGAATTCAGGCATTCCGTATGATTGAAATGGGATTTTCGGCAGAAGAAGTGTTCCGCGTTGTGAGGATGCATGGAAACAACTTTGAGCGTTGCGTTGAAGAAATCCCTAAGAAGTAAAACATCCACTCATAAGCAACTTTGATGTAAATATAATATTTTGCTTCGTTACAATAACAGCATTATTTGTGAGCAAAACAAAATTTAAAAATTCAAAAATATTAGTGTAGAATCTTTTGAAGTATTTACTAACTATGGTTAATCTGAACATGTTTGATGTTGTAGTCTCCTTCATTCTCTTCTTTCATTAGTTTCCTTTCAACGGTGTGTCGTGTATATAGTCAAAATGTAGAGTTTGTATAAATATTACTAGTGTCGCATTCATGTAGCAAAGAAGTAGGCAAGTATTTTAGGTTGCGTGGTTTAAGCCAATGAGTAAACGGATTGGTGGTTGCGTGTATGGCAGGAGTTCCAGAAATGAGGAACCCTTTATTGCAGAACCGCTAGTCCCTCTTCTATACACCTCAGCTTAAACGCTATCACCTACCCTCAATCTGCTTCTTCATTCCCTCCTTCGCAACGTTACCACACACTCAGCACACCTCTAGAGCTCTCCCTAAGTGATCCCAACGGTCATTAAAAGGTACGGGAGTTTTTGAGCAATCGCACAACAGTTTATGTAAAAAGTGTTACAGGTTGATTTTCATTCGTGCTAGGACTACTTTGGAGTGGTTAACTGAATATCATTTTGCCTGAATGATACTAGTGTGAGTCTACCAGACACGCGCTTCTGTTTTCGATTGGCATGATTCCTACACTACGCAACAGCTGAGTGACGATGGGGTTCCATGCAGGGTTAACCCTATGTTGCGACAAGTACACGTGGGGGGGGGGGCGGTGTATTTGGTTGAGGTCTTGGTAGGGGGTCGTACTCTCTCGGAGGCCGGCAGTGAGATTCGGATCTGGATTGCAGGCTATTAAACCATATACGAAACTGAAGCGTAGCTGGAGTGAGCACCACAACATGGATGATAGCCAGCACATTACGTTTACGCAAGATAATTGATACTAGAGCATCTATAACCGCTTCCTTCTGAATGAGCTTTCAAATGAATCAGCGAATCAGAAGCGCGACCGAGGCGTGGCGCACACCAAGGCAGGGATATCAGTGCAAGCGCATGCTCGAAGCTTTCTAACACATCCTATGTTCAACACGAAATTGCTTTCCCTGGAGGTTACTGCCAGTGAAACCTAAAAAAACATGTTTTCAAGAAAATGGCTTGAAGAATGCCCCTCCCAGAAAAGTCGTATAACTTCGTATAATGTTTTGAAAGCTATCTGTGTTTTTTTTTCAGGATGCTCGGTACTTTTTAGAAAGCCTGAAATCTTGAAGTTTTGTCACCGGCTACTGAGATCAGTTTTCGAAATCGACGACTTTGAGCAAAGTTGTGATCGTCCAAAGGCTGAAAAGTCGCATTTGCATAGAAAAAAGTTCCAAGGTGCTAAATTTTTATTAAATCAGCTTCTGAAGAATATTTAGCCATGATTGGAAAGATAATACCTTGAATTTTTCAAATCAAATGCCCTCGGCGCAAAAGCTTGAATATGAAGGAAGTTATAGCCCTAAAAAGAGGAAGGTGAAAATTGTAGTGCAATTTTATTTCTTGCTCAATAAATTATTCATTTCAAAATTGTTTGAGAACAAATGAGCTTACTTAGAAAGGCTGAGCCTCGGTGATCCAAAATCCACCTCCATCTTTTCGAAGTACCTGAAATTTAACGAAGAGAAATTCGTCTACATTTCAATATCCCCGTTCGTCACCTGTTCCCGATCAGCAAACGCGCTCCATTATCGGGCGCGATTCAGCACATTCAAAACGCGATCAATACGCGTTTCCATTCCTTTGCTACCTCGACCTTTTTATATTATCACCTATCGGTTTTTTGGGTCTCATCCGGTAAGGGGGCATGTGGTGCGACATTCATTCGCGTGAAGTTAACCACTTTTTGCAGGGGAGCTCCGGGATGGGTGTAAAAGTTTACGCGAAATGGTCCACACACCCAGGGGATTCCCTTCCCTTGCACAGAAGTATTACATACAGGGGGGGGGTCGTATCAAATCGCCCATGAAGGGGAGGGGGTCGCAAAAAAATTCCAAAAAGACCAACAATAGGGTTGACCCTGGTTCCACGTCACCTCTACCTCCCCCATCCTGCGGATACATCTACTACTGCATTAACGCCCTTTTCTATTTTGATTTCCACTAGGGGGATCTGTTTCACATTGTGCACCATCTCATAGTGCGGTCCACAGTCCACAATCTGTAAATCTTATCACCATTGTGTCTTCCACAAGGAGTAACTCGCCTCCCTGATGACATGTACATCACCATCGCCTAGTTCCCGGCGAACTTAATGTGTAGTAGAACTCTGCTGGCATCTTCTCCTCTTCTGTTAACGATGGGCGGATGATACACCTCCCTGAGGAAAAAATGGCAGACGCGATGCTCTCTTAGTCATTCCTCTGGAAGCAAGAACAATATGAAGCAGTCTGAGTCTAGTGTTGCTTTTAACACTTTTAACCATATGGTAAGTACGGTAAACGGAAGTTGGAAGATATTCAACACCAATAATATTTGAAGTGAAGAAGCACACTGGACATCATGATATGCACAATCAGTTGATTTTGGTGACTGGCTTTCTACGTCGATGACCCCGAGAACATTCGCCAAAACTATACTTTTGTCGGCGGAACCGTTGGGGGAAGGGTATCCTTCTTCCCCGAGACCGCCCTACAGGTTTCGTTACCCTTGCCACGATCAGTGTTTCAGATATCCTTCTCTCAACTAGAGGGTGCCTAGCTTGAGCGGGTCATCCCGTATTCGATGCCGTTTTGCCCAACGACACGGCGCTGCTTCCCCGAGGCATCTACACAATGACTTGACAATCAAACACAATGCAAGATGCATTGGATCGACTAGTGCCCAAGTCGGGCCCCTTGCGCTTCCTGACCACTGGTTCCAACACTATAAGCACACATTATAAACACCCACATTTATTTTGGCCTTCTTCTGAACATCGTGACGTACTTCTCCTACGTCCTGCCAGCATCGGACCTGACTATGTGTTAGGAAGGGTCCTTGCGGGTAATCCTACATTGTGCTTTGCCTCCTCCCTTAAAAGGACGAATTCACGATCAGAGGGAAAATCGAATTAGGAAGAATTCACCTGGTTGAGGGACCCGCGGAGCTCCTAAGTGTGCGAACTGAAGCACAATTTGCACAGGAGGAGTTGACCTCGTTGACCTATTAAGGTTTAATCCCGCCGCGGCTGGTCAGTGCACGCCCACCGATCATCTGATCACTCGCCGCAGGTCTATACGTGGTGAGTGATTAGATAGGTGAGAGAGCGTAGCGTTGAAGAGGGCACAGCGATGATAGTCGCATCAATGCTCAAATCAACGGGCAAGGAAGTGGTCCCATTTCTCAGGTTCTGGGCCGTTTCTCATGGTTTTTCCTTCTTTAGTGTACCACTCACCATCGCTAACTTAATTTGAAATGGGTTGCCTTTCCAGCGTGAATTCGTCCTTTAAAGTATTATTGAGGCCCCCAGTAGCCGAGACACCCCATTGGGCTTAAGCGAGGCGAACCTCGATAGGGCACTATGGGTTGAAACTACGCGAGCTCCCACGAGGGAGACTACCGTGCGCCTGACCTGACTGGCCGTGAAGCGAGACAGAGTCAAGGCGTGCTGCGCGCGTCTGCACGACCATCGCGTACCGCGACACTCTCGAGAACGACAAAATGTGCGCCCGCGGGGTGTGCTATGACGGAGGCCCTAAGAAAACGCGGAACGTCTGGCATGGGCTGTAACAGTAACAGAGAACACGGCCATTTCTCACAATGCGCCTACCTAACGGCAGTTCCTACTGCCATAAATCTTACGACCATACCAAAAAGGCCAAATTGTGAGTTTGAGGTGTATTTTAAGGATACCTCGAGAGAGCAATAAAAACACAGCGATAACAGAATGGAGTCCATCAATAGCCACTGTAAGATACACATACACGACTGCAAAGCTTAACAACATGGAGTACCTTTAGGGACCCAGAGAGAAGTGACCTACGAGGGCGTCTCAAAGACAACGCAAAGAAAAACCGACATAGCGATGACTTGTAGACACCTGAAAAAACAACAAAAATGAGTGCCCCAAGGACGCTCAAGAGAAAGAAGTAATGGCTTGACGACGTAGGCTGATGGGCTTGTAGACTCGAGATCGAGTTCGAATCCTTGATGCATGTGCTAGCTTTGCCTTTTATTCCTTCCGTCTCCTAAACTTTTGCAAAACGGTGCTAGACTTCTTTTTGACTAGTAGCACGCCTTTTGATTGATAACACGTGCTGGAAACAAGGTGGGACGGAACGTTCCGCTTCAGTGCAAGCATCTTTTGTTTACGTTTATGCCCTGAAGACTATGCTCAAGACGAGTATCACTGAAATCATTCTAAAAACGTTCAAAGAACACATGTGATATCCTATAACAAAATGGTTGAAGCAGAAAACTTTTCACAGTG